GGTGTGTGTAGGCACCTCAGTATGCTTGACGTAGGCCGCAGCATCCAGCTGCGGTGGAAATGATAGAAAATCGAGACAAGTTATGAAGAACGTCGATCTACGTGATAGCAGAGTACTTTCCGTACTTAATGTCCTTCGATAGAATTGCGTGGTTATGAACGTCCATTATCCCGACTAAACTGCTCTCATCTTGTCGTGCTTGAGTGCTGCAATGATCCTATGAAATCCACCGAATTGAAGAACGTTCCGCAACGTGCACATACCTTGTGTGGTTTCCTAGAATTGGCCTTTGTCTTTATTGTCTTCACTTATCTTCTTCATTGCTTCTATCTAGTCCTGACAATCATCGTATCGTCTTATCCCTCGTGTTCTCGATTACAAACGACTTAGTATGATTTCGAGATTTCATTTTGATTCTTATTATCTGTTTCTTCTTATTAAGACCCACATACCCCAGGATACTAATCAAGCGAATCCTTTACATTTATAGTTATAAACGTGGTTTTTGGATTTACGAGAAATGGCAGAGGCTTTTGAAGTAGCCGAACTCGCTGAAGAATTCGATGAACAAATTCAAACGGAACCAAAGGAGCCCTATATGAAATACAGGCTCCTGGAAGATGGAGTGACTGTTTTAACATCCACAGACAGTATCACATGTCTATCAGCACACGAGAAAGTGAGTTTTCCGCCACGTCTCATTTAAAACCCACCCATAAGAAAGTTTCAGATTGATACTTTGTGTTGCCAGTGCAATCCACCTACAATCCAGAACGTTTTTAAACTAGTTGGTAGTAATGCTCCTTTCGCTGGATGTTTCCTCCCGAGTGAACATGTGGCCTACTTCAGCTAGTGTTGCCCACCCGGGGGCGTGAGCAATATCCACGAAAGGCCCTTGATTCAAATATTCTGGATAAGTAAATACTATCACCTTCCTTCTACTCATATGAAAGTTGTGCATCGAAAAGGCACCACAACTGATTCACTCAGTTCGATTACTTATCATGATCCACTAATGAAATGGCAACTCTTGTAAGCAACCATTGTATCCAGTCAAACGATTAGACAATAGCCTCATTTGTTTAGGTAGAGAGGTTTGATGTCTGGTGTTTGACTTAATTGGGGACTACTCGGTCCCCAGTCAATCGTTGAATGAGTTCTTGCACTAAAAATTCACTCCTGAAGTAGCATTTTTATCGTGAGCAGGTTCAAACCTAGTTCCGGATTGTACTTTCGGAGACATCTTTTCCACAAAATACTCATTGTGTGTATAGGCGTACATGTGGGGACCTGGTTCCCTTGCTGGCGTAATTCCTTTAGAAAACAACTCGTTTTTGGGTCGAGACATGTAATAGTGGGGTATGTTGATATACTGGCACGTTCAAAGGATGGTACTTCTGGTAGACTTGAGTGTATGGCTAGTTTCAGTAACTTGAAATAAAGCGCGATGTTATTTGCAGTGAGGCGAATAACAAATCCGAAGTTTTCCGCATCTTTGATTTTCCTCACCTTTGTTTTCAATATTGGCTTTGTATTATGTCTATAAAAGACACGATATCTGTGGAATAAGTGGAAACACCTACATTATTGATTGTCTTAGAGACGTTTCTGGTGGAAAATTAGTTTCACGTTCGTATTCTGTGGAACTGGTGACGCCGTGCCTCAAAAAGATCAATTAATATATGCTTCGAATAAAAGCGAAGCCAGCATAGTTCTGAAAGCTCATTCTTCGGAGAATCACCTGCTATCCTCACATCACTATATTCTTCTAGAAGTCTAATTGCCTTTACTGCACCGCGGTATGGAAAGCCAAGTTTTCCGAGATCGTTTATAAGTGCGTTGATTAAAACATCATCCCAGGACTGTTCGGACAAAAAAGCATTCACAGTCAACTTCCACACATGTGGTCAGTTTTTTAGTGCAGGCCTTATCCGGTGGTTGCACTATGGAGATCAGGATGTCGAACTTGGGTTCATTCGTTGTGCGGACACAATGTCCTTTAACATTCAGTTTAACTCTCCCAGCTCCCTCATAACTATTGGGGAGGATAAACGTAGATTTGTCTTACTTTTACCTCGTCAAGCCTTTTCCATTTCGCTTTTTCCACAATCACTCCAGTTTATTGCAGTTGGCACCGAACTTGGTCGTGTACATATTATGGATCATCATGGCTTTCCGACGGAAAATGGTGTCTACAGTATGGTAAGTTGTCTCATGTGTGCCAGAAGCTCCGGACATTTCCCAGCATAGTGTTCTGCAAGGTGATGTAAATTACAGAACAGAATTGCCTCCACAGTAGTTACTGTCACACATAATGTCCACCTAATAAGGATTGCCAACGGAGCCGGATTCAGTTGGTCTATTCTGGGGATGGGTCTGTATTTGAGAGGAGCGAATAAATCCTTAGTTTTTAATGACGACGGAATAGCAGATAGCTCATCTGGTTGACTTTATAAAAAATCGTCCGCCTCTGTAAATAATCCATATTATCCTCCTTTCAGTTTATTCTGTTTTTAGAAGTAGTTCATGCACACTGGGCAACAAACATGGAACAAATACCGCTAGGGGCCTAAACGCTCCAATTGAAACAGGTACTAGTCAGATGTACCGGAGTTTTTTTTGGATCGGTCTGCTGTTTATTGTCATTCACTGTCTGGTGCGTTCGATTGGTCTTCCTCAGGCATATCATCATGTAAAGGACACTAACTACTAGCGTGCAATTTATATCCCGTGGTAAGCCGATTTTAGCAATAGGTCGATCACCTCATCCTCCGTAGCCCGTCACTAGGCGGGCTAGCTTTTACCTCGCAGTCATATTTGCCGAAGAAATACACATTCAGGGTTGCAGATCGGTCGAAGATAGCCCGAAGTGTCGACATCTTAATATTTAATCTACCCTGGGGTTACCATAGTGTTTGGGTGACTGAGCCAACATGATGACCTGTCTGTGAGTTGACTTATCATTTTAATCCAGAGTACAGTCAGACTTGATTCACTTGCAATCACATTTCATCGGATACACTGGACTCACATCGTATTTTGAGGTTTGAAGAGGCATCTGAGGCAGAGTGGAGCATTTCACTTTAACTAGCGCGGTGTTGAGCGCCTGTGATCTGCGAGGGTCCATTCAGAAAATATCATGCGGAAGGTCCTACAGTTCCATCCTTGTTTGACGATACCATAATCGCTAATGGCTTTGTATTAGTTGGGCCGTGTTCCAACGTCTTTTCAGCTGAGCTTGGCGATCGCCGTTTCACCTTTGGAGGATAAGAACGTCAGCTTCGTCATGATATGATCATGTGAGGATCTGAGACATTCAGCCGGATTTCGAACCATACAACAAGCCCTCTTCGAGTGATTGAACTCACAGTATTTTGAACTGTTCTTAGGGTTGACTAGATAAATTTGCTCGACCATCGTTGATTTCACGCTCCATGCTACATCTCTTGATCAACCCAGTTACACATGGTCTGTAGGGCCTATCCCTTGTAGGGAAAGTTCAGTTACTTCATTCAAGTCACGAGCATACTAATTCACCGCATTCTAACGTGAATCAGTTGCAGTGCGGTACATTGTCTGCCTTTCCTAATTTTTGAAAGGATTGTCTTAATACTAGAGCAAAATTTCCTAAAATGTCCTGGGATATTTTACGGCGCTTCGCCTACAAAGCCAATAGAAAAGTTCCGAGGACCGGGACTTTGGTTGAGGACGATTCATGTGTCGGAGAATACGCTGGGGTGCCATTGTATACAGAGCAGTATGTAAAATCGTATCCAGTTCAGAAGGCTCTTCTGAACCAATTAGTTTTGTCCAGTGGTTAGATTTGAGGAGTGATTTTCCACACTGTTCTGACCGATTAAGTTTTATTCGCTGACTTGGCTTAATGTGAGACTAATTCGCTACGCTCGTCCTCAAAAGTGCTTTAGTTTCCTTTGGTTCCATCGATGTTGTGGATCACCACAGCCTGTGATCGACAGTCGGAAGCGAGGTGGGCACGTATGTTAACCCAGTGTTGTTCCCAGTTACACGCACCATATAGGTCTACGGTTTCGATACCCGTTTTCAATGAGGCCGTATTTTGATTCAAAAGCTTCGACAACGCCAATCGAAGTATGGAAGGCTACGAGGGGCCTTTTCGTAGCACGTGTCCAATCCATGGGGCGAAATGGCCCAAGTGGTTAGAGCGCGAACTTACTGACCGGAAGGTTCGTGGTTCGAATCCGACCTCCGCCACTCGACTTCCCTGTCTAGGCTTGGGCAACCTGGCAGTATCCCAGCCCCCGTGCTTCCTTCGGGGGGCATGGCAGCTAGGCACCGGAAGGATGCTGCAACTGAACGCTGTCCAATCCATTGTAGGCGAAAACTCGGATGATTGAAAGCTTTTTGTAGTGTCATTGGAATGTTTCCGGACCTTTTATGGAAGCCTCCCCACCAAATATATCTAGGTTGCACTGTTGTCAACATGTCTCAACTCTCTTGTGGTTGTCGTGACGAGGTGGATCGAGAAGTTCCGATGTTTGGAACATGTTCACTCGTTTAATTTGTTTTGCGGTGTCCTTATCAAGTGTGAACCTATTGGACATTATGACTATTTGTCGATAGTCACGTCCCCTTTGGTCAGCCATCAGTTCTTACGGATGGTGTGAAAACTATCGACCCTGGGCTTGCAGTTCTAGAATGGCGAATTACATGACTACGTGAACATGGGATTACTGGGCACAATACTTTTCCAGCTGGTTGTCATTTGCAGAGGCTTAGAAAAAAGGTTACGCTGAGACATAATACATTACTCATAGGGTTGCTGAAAATTCTTCGACAGCCCGTGACCGGTTTCGCCCTTGGGGCTCGTCTGGTAGGTGTAGTCTCCGAGTTTCCTTCAACTTTATATTCTACTTGAACCCAAGAACATCGTAAACAAGTTAGTTGGGTTCCAGGTGAGTCTCTCGCAAAAACAAATTGGTTTGCAAATGGGTATATTTCGCTAAGTTACAATGAGCTTTATTGTAGCTAATTGGCCGATTTTGTCGCCTGAATTATGCATTTCATCCAGCATGAGAAGTCAATCGAGTCGTGTTGTACGACTCTCATTGTTTTGGGAACATGTCAACAATATGCAGCTCTCGAATCTCGAGTATAATTTGAGACGGAAGGTAATCAGATAACAGTTAAATTACGTAAAGGTCGAATATGAATGACAGACTCGTGGTGTGATTGAACTGTATTCGGACAGGACAGAGCAGCTTTTACAGCTCACGTCACGTAGTCCGGTGTGGAGAGGCCTGTTGATTGAAGACACCGCAACGACCGTTATCTGAATGATCGTTTGTACAAGTTCATGGCTGGGGGGCGGGGGCCGGTTCAGCTTCCCATTGGGTTTTTGTGACGGATTAAGTGTCTACACTTTTTCAGCGGGGTTTAAACAACTAAACTGTAGGGCCCGAATTCGGCCCTGTGGGTCCTTAGCTTACAACATCACTCGGGCACCAACTCATTTGGACTAGCGTTGATAGTAGGTGTATCACAATTGACCGTGTTTTCTTTCTGTCTCTCTTGTCAGCATACCAGTTCAGTCAATCATATCAGCATCGCATCTGGCGGTGATTTTATGACCAGTTGTGGAGATGACGGCAAGGTAAGCTGTACCCATGTGCGACGTGCCTGTAGCATCGTGCTAGTAACTAATATTTGGACAGATCTTCCCATCCCTTCCATGCATATAAACCTATCTTTGCTTCCCTACTCTGTTAGGTAATCGTTTACAATCTATCAGATACAAACGAAAATCAAATCTTTCGCTTGGATCATGAAATCAAGTCGGTTGCGATCTCTCCGGATTATGCTCAAGTACAAGCTTTGGTGTTTGGTCACTCAAAGGTTAGTGGTCTATTCTTTTTATTCTTCACAGCCGGACTCAGACGACATTGCACGGGAAGATTCTGCTCCTTGTACACTTCACTTTTTTTCCTCACAGCTAAATCTGATCTCTCGTGGCACATTTAAACGAAGCAAAACTGGAGAACTGGCCACTGCAGAGGGCCTCGTTCGCACCATCAAGTGGAGAGGGGATTTCATTGTATGGGCGGACGATATGGTAGGCACGCACACTATTGGTTGAATGTTTTCACTTTTTGTCATTTTTGAGAACCTCGTATTTTGAATCTTGTTTTATTGTTGTTGTTTGATTTGTGAATTGTCATTTCATGCACTTTTCATGCACGATCATACCGCATTCGCTTTTGCATGAATCCACGCGTGTTTTTGTGTTATGAGACCAGTTGGTTAATGATACTCTAGCACAAAATAATAGTATTTGAGGAGTGTCCTTTTTCCGTGAACTATTTTCGGACCAGATACGTTGTACGCTGCTGTCATTTTCCAGTCCCGTCCTACATGTGGAGACGCTTGTCTGATTAGTTTATCCTCGGTTGTAGATGAGTTCTGACAGCCTAACGGTTCCTTCGCCCCCTTGAAATTCTTCATCCACTCGTCACACATGTTATCTCTTCTTCACTCTAGCGCGTCTGCGTTTACGATGTTCGAGATCATCAACATATTGCCTATATTCAGTTTGGGGACCAAGCTGTGGCGTAAGTTTCGATTACGTAAACAATTCACGCTTTTATTGTTTCGGTCCTCGGTTGATCAGTATTCGTTAGCCCTACTGCATATAGTCATCACATTTTGTCTGCCTGTCCTGGTACAGCTTTCTATTCTCACTCAATTCTTCGGTAAACTTAGCATATTTGAGAGTATTCGTTAGCCCTACTGCATATAGTCACCACATTTTGTCTGCCTGTCTTGGTACAGCTTTCTGTTCTCACTCAATTCTTCGGTAAACTTAGAATATTTGATACTCACTTCGATGATAGACTTCATTTGAACTGGCTACGTACAGACATTTTTATGGTACTGCTTCAGTTGTGCACTGAATTTTATGCGGTGCCAGAATAATTACTGGCCCCACGGTGTCCCCCAACGGCATGCAAGCCACAGAGTCGCTCCATTCTTAACTTTTCGCAGCCGTATCAATGACGAACAACTTGCTCAGCAGCTGAGGGACTGATAGATCCGCAAGCTGAATTAATCCATCAGAGCAGTTTTTTTCCAACTATTCCACAGTCAGATGTCATTTCACACGGGAACAAGATCGCCACATGTTCACACAATGTGCTGACTGTTGTACGGCATTGTCAGCGCCACATTAACACTGGATATAAGACAGAACAAAAACACTGCCTGAACCTAGGGGAAATGATCTCGCCGGTCCAGAACACAATTCAACCCCGTGAGTTATCAGGCGTCAAGGGAAGCTTAGCAACCATGAAAAAATCGCTCAGCTGTAGAACTCTTTCGGTGCCTAGCTGCCGTACCATACGAAAGAGGCACGACGGCCGGGATACTACCAGGTCGCCCAAGCCTAGACAGGGGAAGTCGAGAGGCGAAGGTCGGGTTCGAACCACGGATGTTCCGGTCAGTAAATTCGCGCTCTAACCACTTGGTCCATCTCACCAACCATGAAGTCGAAAGGCAACGCAAATGGAAGAGGCAAAAGATGTCGGGAATGACCGGAAGTTATTTCGGTTGATTTATGTGATCACCGTATTTATGAGCAGTCCACAGTTTTCGTGCTCCTGGATTTCCAAGACGCATTCAACTCTGTTGACTAGTATGTTCTTACTAAGTCTACTCAGCAACAAATAACCCGGAAGCTTGTCAGTATGATAAGTTCTTGCTATTCCCAGACTTGGTGCATATGAGTAGATACGGTTAACTCTCGGAAACTTTACGTACAAAAAGCAGTTTCCGTCAAAAATGCCTATTCTATCCATTCCCACTGATTTTGTGATCGGCGAGTGTCGTAACTTGCTGAACGGTGGTGCAACTCTGTGCTGGTCTTTGGCTTCCTGCTCCTTCCACTATGGTATATCAAAAGGCTCGGTAGCTTCAGATAGCTCTTTATGGAGACGAAGGAAAATTATTACAACCTTGTTTATAGGGCAAAAACAGAATGTTCCAGAGGGTCGTGCTAGAATCTCCGTGAGGGGGCGAAAAGCGTCTAGCTAAAGATGCTCGACCCAGATTGGCTGGCATTCTGCCAATCGGGACATGCCTTCGTTTGGTCCGTAGTCTGCACGTGACGCATCCTTCCAAATGAAGTGATGTTCGGTTATTAGGGACGGTTGGCCTCCGGACAGTGAAATGCTGAGGTGAATGCTGAGAGGCCTTCAAAACTCTGGCGTTCAAGTAGCAGCTGACGAAAACCTTGTCGATCTCGAATATGTAGACAACATCGTTCTCATCTTTTAAAAGGAGCAAATGACACTGGTGTTTTTGTATGGACTAATCGAAGTCATCCCCTTCTTTGGCACGCGCTTTGCTCCCACAGGATGTAAGTTTATGCCTCTGGATATGAGATACTTATGGTCTCAAAACGACCTATCCCTAACTCCCATGGAACGTGTGTATTATTCCGCAGTACGATTCGTTTTGTTGGACTGTCCTGTGATGCGGATCCTGAGATGTCCTCAGGAATTCGATAACTGTTGTCTCAGAACCCTAGCTCATGTAGGCTGGTACCAGCGAATCCGCAGCAAAGAGCTCAATGAGAATGTTGGGTCCTGCAACACTGAATGAAGAATGGATCCAGCATCCAAAGCCGCGGAGGTTTGAGCGTGTATTGCACATTGGTCTGCCGAAAAGACTGCTGTTCACCGTGCCCTGTTCCGAGTGATGCAAGCAGAAAGGTGGTCAAATTTTGGCCTGGCAAATGGTTGTGGGAGATTTTAATTCTTAATTTCATGTGAGTGGTATAATCGTTGGAGCTGGAAACTCGGTGGTGTCTCTTGTTCAATAATGCGCTGGTATTCTTCCGCACAATGTAAAGCTTACTGGCTGCGTCGTGGTTCCTCGATATCTCCGTGATTAAGGCGCGAACCTACTGACTGAAAAGCCCTTGGTTTGAACCCAACCTCGCATTTTGACTGCTTCTGTCTAGAATTGGGCAAAATGGCAGTATCACAGCCCTCGTACTTCCTTGGGGTGGCATGGCAACTAGGCGCCGAAGGGCTGATACAGCTAAACATGTATATTCGATGAAATTTCTCTTGTTTCTGAATTACGCAGTTTGGGATGATTGTCAAAATCCGAAGACGGCCCACTTACCGATTTCGCCCTGCTTAGGGTTCATCAAGCAGGTCTAGTCCCTGGAAGCTGAGGCAATGTTTCCATGATGAGGTTACTGGATCTGAAGACACAATGGAGCCCGTTCTGGGGACTCTGCCCACCTGATGATTCCTGCACTTGGTGAAACTGCTAGTGAGCTGTTTGCGGATTCTGAGAAATTTTTCCATACTAATTAATTAAAAAAGAAGCAAAAATGCAAAAGAAGCTGCACTAAGTATCTTCGCAACCGGAACTTGAATCCGTTGGTGTGCTGCAAATTAGGCAGGTTACAACGAGTGATTCCACCGAGTGTCCAGCTCTAGCCATTTCATCATGCACTTGAATTTAAGAAAAATAAAAATAGCCTTTCGGATGTAACACTCTTGCGATCAAATTACTATTCAAATCGGGGATTGATTATCTCAGCTTCTGGAGACTACGCCTACTTAGACCAGATGAAACTGAGTGTGAAACTGGTTGCGAGAATTCTGGCGGCTCACTTTCCAGCATGCAATCCATGTAATCCACCTATCCATGCTTAGAGACCTTGCAACATACGGCCACTGATCGATATCAATGGGGTTATTGTCGTCATCTCCTGTCCAAGTTGTCTGATTGAGCATTTAGTGGCGCAGTCGCTTCGGAATGGCTGTAGTATGCTAGCACTGTCCCTACTCCATCCACTTTTTTCTTTTTTTTTCTCACCACAGGATTTTTAACTTAATTGTCGTTCTCCGGAATCGGAACATGTGTTGACCACTGCTTTTCTACTGTCGACGGTGATTTTCAGTTTAGTGTTTTCTGTTTCTTGATTTCTTCTTCAGCCTGTACAAACGAATGATACCGTGTCATCTTACTTGGTGCACGGATACTTGCTTCCTTGTCGGCCGGGGCCACTGTCTTCGTATCTGTCAGATTTTTGAGCGATACCAAGCAACGGAACGTCGTCAGTCTTCAAAGCAGTCTGTAGGTCGTACTTCTTCTGTACACATTCCTACTGGTTCGGATAGTCCAACTGGTTTAGCCAGTCGTTACGTTGAGCTCTCCTACCAGGTTGATTTGGCGGACTGCTTGGTTTGTGGTGTGTCAAGGCATCAAACTAATTTGCTGGCTTTGACAGTACCACGGTTTTCCACGACGGTCGAATCCAGTGAAATTCCGGTGGAGTTGCAAGTGATTGAGGTGGACGATGTCGATATGAATCAGTCTGGTCCGCACACCTACCGCATCAATCGGGAGCAACAGACATGGATGGTACAGCGAAGGTTGCATGGGTTTTCTAGCATATTTTTGGGTAAGAACTCAGATTTTACAGAAGAGTTTATCACGGATCATGCTCTCCAAAAAGGGACTGTGAAAATCGTGCTTCTCTGATATAAAATACTGTCTGTTGTCCATAGGAAAGTCGAAAAATCTGCACTTGATGCATATGTGCTTCACTGTGGAATTTTGTGGAAGTTTGTACTGACAGAACTGTGCACGTGGGATGGTATAGAAGTATTTTGTATATTTCTATGTATTTCTCGAAAACAGTCCAATTTGGGTTCAAGTAGATCATAAGGTTGACGGAAACTTGGGGACTGCGCCTACCTGATGAGCTCCGAGAAGGGCGAAACCGGTTGTGGGCTGTCGAAGAGTTTTCAGCAACCGTGTGAGTGGTTTCCTTCACGAAAATATTATCAACACTTTTAAAAACAATGGCCTCTATTATACCTGTCTATTTGTTCTATCATTGATGACCCAATGAGGTGTGGGGGAGCCCGTATAAGCTCGGTGTTCGAATTACTCTGAACCAGGACTTTGTCGATCTCGACTAACTTGTTTTGATTTGTGAAACAAATCACCTGTGTGCTACATGCCCACAAAATGCTTCAAGACATGCATCTTTTGTGCGTCACTTACAGTTGAAGGTGAGGAACTGGAGAAGCTTGATAATAACATGTGCTAGCAATTTTTTTGTAGGAGATTGGGGAATTCGCAGTTGAGATTTCATCCTGTAAGTGAACCCAGTCTGTGCTGGAATGTCAAAAAGTGCTGTGCAGCTGTTTCATCCTTGTAGAAAATCATCGACAGTGCGTAGCTCACAAAACTCCGGGGAGTTTCGAACCCGTGACCTTCTGGCTAGTTGTTTGGACAACTAACCGTTTGGTCATGACCAGCTGCTCACCAGTGTATGATTGGTCCACACTTGGAATGCAGGTTGGGTGTTTTTTTTTAATTTTAAGAGTTTTGTGTATCGGGCCACGGTGTCGGCTGTGTTTTATGACTGTGGGCGGTAGGTTTTGTGGTGGTATGGACCAGTACTAGTGAATTCCCAATCGCCTCATTTGGGAGCGGGTTTTCGGTGAGGCAGGTACTCTGCCTGTGAAACTAATTTGGCGTTGTAAGCCGTGGTGGGTCTGTTAGGTGTCACTTGTCCTGAATCGTTGTTCACTGAAAACAGCGAATCTCCATGCAACATTCGAAGGCAGGCGATCGCGCGGTAGAGAAGTCTGCTTTAGCAGAGGGATTTTGGTAGTTTACGAAGACTCTGGTTAATTTTTCTCGACTGTATTTGCACTTGGCTAGTAACAGTGCAAAATAAAATGGCAATTGATTATGAATGACATTCATCAAGTGAACTTGTTTTGATGAGTTCCTGGCGTCTTAGTTAGCACTTGCCGACGAGTGCTCGACGGCCTTTCCCTTCCTTTATGTTATGTCTTTCATTGCAAGCTGTATTTAGGTAAACGGACGTGGTTGTACCGGTTTCACACACTGGTGTGTTGAGGATGGAATGGCTATCTGCTAACACTATCCTGACACGTAGATCATCAGTAGCCATTTTACGTCATTACGATCACTTTGGTAGATTTGGTCAATATTTTCGGGGCACTTGTTTATTATAACAATCGTGTTTCTTTGGACGAAGAAATTCAGGCGTTCCTAAAAGACACAAGATAATAATAATAATGATAATAATAATCGTTCAGCTGAAGCGCTCTTTTGGCGCCTAGCTGCCATGCCACCCGAAGGAAGCACGAGGGCTGGGATACTGTCAGGTTGCCCAAGCCTAGACAGGGGAAGTCGAAAGGCAGTGGTCGGGTTCGAATCACCGACCTTCCGGTCGATGAATTCGTGCTCTAACCACTTGAACTATCTCGCCCCAAGACACAAGATGCGGAAGCTTCATTCAACTGTCTTGATGCACTAAAGACTTGATAAATCTTTCGTATCCTTTCGTACCTTCATCGTAATTCTACTCTTAGATGACACGGTAAAAACAGAAGATTGGGGAATTTGGCTGTACACACAGGTTTGCCATAAAACCTTATTTAGCTTAAATGTGGAGCTTTTGGTGAAGTAAGTTAGGTTTGCATAAAAATCAAGGCGTTATCGATAACGCTATGCCTACGACCTCGGTTAGACAACCAGTTGGATATTGTCGACCAGTCGTAGCCAAACTTGCCTGAGTTACCATTCTCCGTTTCTACCGTTAATTATTTTGCGGACATTTTCCGATCCCGAAAGGTACAGTCTTCCTTGTCCAAAAGCCTCCAAACCTACTGCAGACGAGCTGAACAATGGACTAGCCTATGCCTGGCCCAACCATTTTGCTTATAGAGGATGTTGGGTAGAGAGGGTTCCCTATCGTTTCCCGTCTACCATCTCTACTGTGATTCGTCAATGACAACCTGTGATTTATCTTAATAAAAACCGCACCACTTGCACAGGGTGAAATTTTAACCAAGCACTTTTTCAAAATGCAACCCTATTTTGTCTTGCGCATATCTTCAGTTGTCCGTCTGTATCTGCTCTGAGTTTCCCTTCCCATATGAACTTTCAGAAACTGTTCCTGGTGAAAATACGCATTATATCGTCACACCAAAAGAATTAATTTGTGGGGAAGAACTGACCACTGATGATAAAATTGACTGGCTGCTTTCTCGTGGTCATTTTCCAAGAGCGCTGGAGCTTGCACGCACACATCCACGACAACTTGCAAAGCATACAATGCAGGTGTGTGTCATGAATTGGTTGCTACCCTTTTCAATACCTGTCTGGTTCCCGTTTACTCTGCGTAAATTTTCTTCCTTTCTATTTCTCAGTCCGTCGGACTCTTGTATGTGAACTACTTGATTGAAACGGAACAGTTTGACTTGGCTGCCGCGATTTGTGCTCAGATCCTCTCCGATCGCTCATCGTGGGAGGAGCAAACATACGTGTTTATGCGGTTGGGGCATTTGGCCGTGAGTGTCCCTATTGTTTCACTGTGATTTCGGTGTTTTCCGAACGTTATTTGCACATGTCACTTTTTTCTTTCTCTTTTTTCCCAGTCACTTGTACCCTTCCTACCTACGGGTGAACACACGGAGTTCGGGCAGATCAAACTAAGTTCCGGACTCTACGAAACCGTGTTGACCGAGTTTATGGATCGTGATCCCGCTCATTTTCTTTCCCTTTTGTGCCGCTGGAAAGATTTAGATCTTCTAGACTCTTTTGACGGTTTGCTACGTACATTAGTCGATCGAATTGAACGACGTATATCCTTGTCTGGTGAGTATGTGATTTTGTATTGCGATTATGTGAAGTCCTGGTGGAACTAGTTGACATACTCTAATGCCTCAACTGAACCAAAGAAGGTGTTCGCCGCTGACCCGATCTCTGTTTAAATGCGGTAACACGCAGTGTCTCTCCCACGGGCTACAAAGGCTTGTTGCTGATTTGACAATTTGTGACCAGTAAAGCCGTTGACATTCGCTATGACTGGGTTGTATTAAACGGTCATCGAGTATGCAAGGCCATAAATGGCATCCGACCTGGTGAACCAATAGCAGCGTAAATCGATTCGATATCCAAGTTGCCGTGTTTAGCCAAGCTAGTTTGTTTGTCCTATGGTTTGTCCAGACCGTAGACACACGCTATAAGTCACACAAAACAAAAGCAAATCCCGCATCTTTTTGGTGTTCCAAGCTTATCTTTTAAGGACGGACCTTATACAGTCCACCATTCGGTAACCTTAGCTCTGAGCGCATTGTGACTTGCATGTTCAGTGTACGAATACCAAAGCTTTTGTTAACTTATGTTACCCATTGTGCCCAATTCCCATATTAAGGCTGGCAAATGACCAATTACATTTCAGTTTGTGGTGTGTGAGTATGTCACCTCGTGTCAGCGAGTGATGATAAGGCTCTTGATCAGCCGTTGTGTGGAATAAATTCAGAACACGAAAACCGTGGAATAAGGTGAATGATCCTCGGATATGCGAATACATCTAATAAGCTTAACTTAATAAGAATGTGTAGCTTGTCGCTCACGGAACAGTCCATTCTTTCTAAAACTGCCTTCTGTACTTCTGCATTACTAGTCTCGTGTTCCTACCAGACCCGGCCAACACCAATTGTCAAACGCCGACAGGCGTAGAGGCCACGTTTCCAATCCACAAGACTCAGGATAGCACTATCACACTGTATGGTCTGTCCTTGATAAAGAAAGTGTTGTTATGTCATCACCATAGGTTGGGATGTCGGTAAAAGGTACCTAAGCTCGATCCGAGAAGTGGTCTCGTCTCCAATTTGTTCACTATTTATACAACTGCCCAGACGAATAGGTTTAATTACCACGTCGATTGGCTGGTCTGCAAGCATGAGAGTTTTGGTTCGATTCCGCGCAACTTTGTAGCAGTGCTTAACACTTCGCATATATGAGGTGCTTACTAAACTGTGCGGCAGAATGGCTTGGGCTGTTTAAACAGACTTAAATCCTCATAGGATCTGAACCAAGTGGAGGAACATTGCGTGCTGAGTGTTTTGTGAGAGAATGTCCCGGGAGCAATTCCGATCTCCGGAGTTTCAGAGGTATGCAGAGAAATTTTCAGCAGATAGTCAATAAGGAAGTTGAACATGACTGTTATGTCTTATACCATTGGATGTGGTGAACTCGGGTGATAGCCTTAGAATGGATATCTGTGGTCGCCAGACACCGCCATGGTTCCTGATGACTCACAGAATCAAAATCAGCCTTCAGATCAAGAAAAGGGATGACCCTGAACTTTCGACAGAGGGGCGTTGTCCAAAATCTTGGTTTAAAGGTATAGTTGATATATCCTTAGTCATAACGAAACCCGGCTTGATTCTCGCGATTCCCTTTCGGTAATCTGTAAATTTGCACAAAATAATGCCAGAGAGCACCTTGGATGCAACGGCTACAAGAATTATACCACAGTGATTTTTGGTATAATGTCTGAGTTGATTAGCGTGCACAGTAGTTCGCAGTATGTGAAGGTTCTGAGGAACAGAATACCAAGAGATTCCATGGTCCACAGAATAGACTGAGAATTTCGTCTTACCACGGGAGATAGGAAATTGATAGGAGTGGTTTTGCTCAGAAATTGAATGGTTTACTGCTAAAGGGTTCATGACGATTAATGGGTTATCCCGAGGAGTGCCTACACCATTGATAACGTAGTTTTCGAAGTTCGTTTCGCCTCCATGAAAAGCATTAGCAGTGTCCATCAGGGTGGCTTATTTTTCAGCATTGACATGGATCGGAAGTCTACAGTGCCTAGCGAAACATTTTTCTACACAGGGAAGTTTTGCGATCTATACTGAAGCGAATATTTAGGTACGAGATAGGGAAAGCCAGCCTTCAAGTTTCAAGGTGTTTTTTTTAACGATTTTGCCCACTTTTCAAACGCGACAGTTGACCACCAGCCTGACTTCCTGTTAGAAATATTTTGTCAGATTCATACTACTGACTAATTTCGAGTGGTACATTGAGAAATGTCTCAACTCCATACTGCTCAATCATTGGAGAAATCTAGCTGCCCTTGGAAAGCTAGCTTCACCAAGTGATTGGTAGCGTGATTTTCTACACAAAATATTGCTGCCTTATCTCCGCATGATTTCAGATCATCGAATCGCAGCCGAACCAGAAAGTGAGATTTCTGCTGTTCCAACTCCTTCACATTCACTTTGTTATGGTTCTCACTTAACCTTCAGGTGAAGCTAACTTTCTCAGTTGTCCGACATGTTTGTTTGCACCAACGCGATTACGCATTTCTCCTACTTGTTCTTCTCTTAAAATAACGAATTTATCGGGGTTTTTCACCAGGTATTAGCGAGTCCAACGTTCTTGAGCCGACTCTGAAGAACCTCTGGCAGGCATTGGCCGTGTTGTATGACAAAGTCGGTCTGTCCGAGAAGGCGATAGACATTCTTGTACAGCTACACGATCCGAGAGTATTTGAGATGTTCGAAGGAAAACCGTCCGGATCGCTGGATCGGCGTCTCGTGGAAGTACTCAAAGAGCGCACAGAGTGCTTCATGGAGCTGGACACTACCCGCACCCTGGCTATTTTGCTGGACAATATCGCCGCGGTCCCGGTAGGTTTTCCTTACCAACGGCATAGTTAATCCGGTGGCTATGTATTGGGTTATGTTTACTTATTGGTCCCTGTGAAAATTGGTGGTCCCACTGCTAGCTATGGAATAGGGGTGGACGTTATCATTTAATTATGCTCTTTTACGGCTAAATTCCTTGAAGTAATAACCTTATTCGTGATGGCCAACTACTTGGTTGTTGGTCTGTTCTACGAGTCTGGCACTCAGCTTGCTAATCTTTTGCCACCAGTTATGGGGACATAATCACTACGTGGGTGGATAGGTACTTCCTGCTTAACTTGTTGTATTCATATTAATCCGAAAAGCGCCTGATTTCCGTTGATGCGGTAGGCTGCTGCAAGTGACTTTCTCGTTGTTTTGTCAGTTCATGTGAGAGTTATGCTGCTTTATGGTCTGTATTTACGATATTCATTTGCATAGATTCCTCCCTCCCTGTGCTGATTGGTCAGCTTATGATCCGTTTTGTGTTTTGGTCCGCTTCCTTGAATTTGATTAGTTATTCTGGCATGGTCCGTTTTCGATTTTCTTTCTATAACTGCGGTACTCTTGTTGAAGCGCACACATCCTCGGGGCCCGTCAAACCGCGCTTTTCTGAAGGCTCCGAGCCGTGGTTTCGTAGAATTTTTCCGCATGGCTTAGTAAGGCACTGAGTGATTTGAGGGGAAGTGTATTTGCCGTTTGTTCTACCGATTCGTCTGAAATAAAACTTGATACAATCACCATGTGGAACATGTGACATAGAAACAGTGCAGGATCTTCGCCGTCAGTCGCGTCATTGAATGAATTTAACTGCATTTGACTGTTGGTAAATGTGAAAGAACGTGAAGAGGTATAAGAGAACCAGCACAGAACGCATGTAGAACCCATGTTTTCTCCCGGTTGGTTATGATTTATAAAATGGTCTGATTTGCGCGTTCCACTTTCCCATCGTTAGACACAACCTAAGTAAAGGGTATCCCGAAACATGTTTAAGCCCGTCTCGGCTTCCGGGTTAATTTCCTTTTGAATTAGGGTGATACGCCTCACAACGACAGCTTCCAGCAAGGGTGTAATTACTTTGCTCCATAGCCAGGGAGACAACTACACACTTCAACCCAGTTTTCTCTGATGCTGATTAGAGCGGTGCTTCAGGCCTCAACACCGATGCTTCACCGCCGTACAACCATGATTTATTTGAAAGCCTTATTGTAAAGAAAAGAGTAAAGGTGGATGAGGGAGGGACTTAGTGCTAGCTTAACACAATCATTCCGAGGTGCCCACACCTCCAGGCATTCACCCAGGCAATCTGGACAGAAACTGACAACAAGAACGCCACTGACATCGGTTGGCAGCCATATCTTGTAGTGTCTCCAACCAGGCACAGTGAAGATCACGCGGTCCCCATCCTGGAAGGCGAGTAGCACCGACAGCACCGAAGCGTTTCGTGATCTCCTTCATACTCCTCTGCCTCCTCCTCAGGGGTTGGCCACCCTTCTGTTTACGCCACTTGGGTCCGAATGTATGTTCAGGTTTTCGACTGTTGACCAGGTGAAGTGCGGGGCCTTATCAAACAAGCTGATGTTAACTATGATTTGTTCCACGTCAGAGCACTTGTTGGCCGCATGCCTCCAACAGCTGCATTGTGGAGTTCTCCTGAGGTTGTGCCGTTATGTTGAGCAACTTGCATGGGTATCAATAAGTGGCGCCCGAATTAACGGTTTTTGAACAGATGTCCGCTATTGTCACCCTGCCTGAATAGTGGAAGCTCTTGGAATCATGCCGTCATTGGGAGATTAATGGTAAACTTAACCTGATAACAACCGAATAGCTCATTTGCAATAATCTTTGACTGAACACGTTACACAAGACCTTTTAGTTATATGTCTCAATAAAAATAAAAATAAAAAAACGTGAAACACAATAATCTTTGACTGAACACGTTACACAAGACCTTTTAGTTATATGTCTCAATAAAAATAAAAATAAAAAATACGTGAAACATTGGGCGGGCTTTGTACAGCACATTCACCAAAGGCGCAGTTGGTTGCTATCCTGTTGAGTCCTTTGTTGCCACTAACCTCGAATTACTCCACTGGTTATGGCGCGAATGTACTGTCCAGAAGGTCCGTGCTTCGAACCAATCGTGGCCTTTCGATTGCCTCTGTCTAGGTTTGGGCAATCTGACGGTATTTCAACTCTCTTCGTCCTTCGATTTGTATGGCAACTAGGCACCGAAACAGTGAGGAGCTATGCCTACCTGATAAGCCTAGGGAAAAGTGAAGAGTTCTCATCCACCTTGTAGATAGTGTTGCGTCAACCCACATTCGAATTTTCGATAGCAGACGTGCGAACTGTAATTTCCAGATTCAGCCACTAGGCTGTTCACCCTTCTTGAAGGAGCACATTTCATCACTCGCAGTGAAAATTGATTTTGAACTGAACCCTGCTGTCCCTCTTGGAAGTACAGTCAGTGTTCGGCAGCACCGTGCTTGGAAGCGGTTCACGCATCAACAGTGCTTCTCCCTTATAGGAAACCTATGAACGCTGTTTGGAAAGAAACCCTTTTTGGGAACCATTCTAACAAGCAATAATTGGACAACAAACGCATCCAAACTCCTCACATTTATGGAAAGTGGTCCATTACAAATGCAACAAGTTTGTTGACTTGCGCCTTGGCAGTCGGCGAAACAAGAGATGACCACCCACGTATGTGCGTGTCTAGGGTTCTTGTCACAATACCGGATTGGCTTTTCCGCGTAGATTGGCCTCACAGACTGGACGAAGTTCCGATTGATTCTTCTCATCTTTTAAGTGCTTAACTACGAAACTCGATCCACGAGTACCTCTTCACAAGCGCTGTTGCACTTCTATACTCCAGCATCCTTACAAAACCCCTATAGTCTCGTATTTGGGTGCACTCAAGACCTCGTCCCTGTCTTTCAGGTTGGAGCTTCTAAAGGTTTCACGGGCACGAGCTATTTTTGGCTTAAATCTACCTGTGTGTTTTCCTCAACCAGTGATGTCCTCCTTTATATCCTTGCGGGGATTTGTTCTTCAGCAAATCGTTTAAAACGCCTATCCGATAATTGATAATAAAGAAAAGCTTGTTATCGTCGTGTCTTATACAAACGGCGGAACTGTGTTGGAAGCTTTTTCTTGGGCCTTTATGCATAATGCATTGTCAAGTTCTGACAGGAATCTACTATTTTCTGTTCTACTGGGCTCAATTTCCGCTTTCTGGCGACACATTTTACCGGGTTAAGTCGCAAGATGCTTGTTCCAATAGTGTTTGATATAGACCCGACCACACAAATCGTAAGGTTGGGCGGAAGCTGCTCCAAAAACAAGGCATTTTGAAAATTCCCTTACCGACTAAAACGAAACATCTGGTTGGAAAGATACCGTCCTTCATTCTATTTTGGACAGGTCTAGGGTCTCTGTCTCTCTAGCCATTCCGAAATCGCCATTACTTCATCTTAATAAGAGATAGCAGCATCAGTGGTGGCACTGATGCTTCACTGCCGTACAACCATAAATTTTATCTTATTGTAAAAAAAAGAGAGGGCGAGGAATGCTGGCCTACGCAAATCGTTCTGAGGTGCCTACACCTCCAAGCACTCAGTCAGACAATCTAGAAAAACTGACAGAACGAAGCAAAGAAACTGCCACTGCTTGATCCCAGATCGTTCAAATTCATAAACGAAAGTGTGGGATTTTATCTACACATTTCACGAATAACAGTGGCAATATGAGTACTCCTTCAAAATGGCTGTGAGTCTAGTTTATCCTCTGAACTACTGATGGTTTTCGGGTGTGTTGAAGGTCGCAAGTTTGATTCCTCTTATACATAGCGGCATTGAAGCACTGCGAAATTCATAATCGTCGATTTGTTCGCCTAGTTAATCGGTTTTACGGGAGATATTTCAGCATTCATAAAGGTAACGTGGGTGCGTTGTTAGAGAGTCTTACATCAGTGGTTGTTCCAAAACTATCGCAGTTAAATCGCTTTGCTCTGAGAACAAACCGATGACCAGATACGCTGCCTTAGCTTCCAACATTCTGTTGTGTGGTGGTACAAAATAGACTTGTTTCACGCCTGTTGAAAAATTCAGATTCTTCAGTGAAAGACTGGGATAGAACCGGATGATCTTTGGTGGTGTTTCTTGCAAGGGGTGGAAATTATGTCTTCTTCATAGTTGCCACCTGCTTCTGAGTCGATGGATTCCACGTTCACTCAGGTATGGAGGTCCGCGAGACGAGTACTGTTTCTCACTCTAGTAGAATATGTGCAGTGTGATACAATGTATAATGGAGTGTTATGGTACTATATTTTGGTTGTGTTATGTAGTAGCATAGTGCAGTAGCACTACAGTAGTCTGGTATAGAATAATACGGTATAGCATAGAATAGAATTGTGTAGTATAATTTAGCATCACATATTATATATAGTACACATTAGCATACTGTAGTTTACACTAGTTTGGCGTAGTAAAGTACACTGGAGTGAGGGGAGTACAGAGGAAGTACATGTACTTAGCATTTTTTAAATTGGGTGCAGTATGATTTATATAACAGTGCACAATACTGTGTATATTCTCATTCGTAATTGGTTTATTCAGCTGGGATGCAGAGGTACACCGGTGACAAATTCGGACTTTGTTCTAAACGTTTGAGGAATTCTGCCAGTTATCTTCCCTCTGGTGAACCAGATGTTAACTTTACTAGACTTACCGTCGTCTCACTCAGTCACTAGCTCATATTTTCTTTAAACCCATCTCATAAAACGTTTTTCCGTAAGACATTGGCCCGAAGACTATTCATTATTCTTCCAAACTGATGAACACAATCTTGCTACTATCCTACGAACCAGGTGACAATCTTACTACGACGGATCTGTTGACTTGACACTTATCTTGTGAACACTCTCAAATAGAACGTTCGGGTGCTTGCGGAATCCATAGCCAAGATGGCCCAAGTGGTTAGAGCGCGAATTTACTGACCGGAAGGTCCGTGGTTTGAACCCGGGCTCTGTCTCTCGGCTTCCCCTATCTAGGCTTGGGCAACCTGGCAGTATCCCAGCCCTCGTGCTTCCTTCGTGTGGCATGGCAGCTAGGCACCGAAAGGGTGCTACAGCTGAACGATGTTGTTCCTTGCCAACCATGCTCATCGTTCTCTACGTTTCTCACCCTTATACCCCCTTGAATTAACTCGCTCGTTTATCCCATTATTTTAGGTGGATCATGTCGTTAACCAACTGGAGGGAAACCCGGAGCTATTGTATCACGTACGTGGGCAAGTAATTTGTTGTCTGTAAAGGGGATGTGAGTGAAACTCAGCTGCTCTTTGAATGAACGTCAAAACATCCGCAGTACCATTCACTCTCGCGTTTGTCTCCCTCTTCGTTCACAGTATCTGGACTGTGTCTATAACCGCTACCCGAAGCATGTGAATCCCCACATCATCAGTCTCATCCAACTGTACACCATGTTCAACCGCGACAAATTGCTTCCTCTTCTACGTTCGACAGACTCTTATCCGTTAAGCGAAGCCCTGGCAATTTGTGAGAAAGCCAAACTAGTTCAAGAGACGGTGTATCTTCTAACTCGCGTTGGTCGACGTCACGATGCTTTGCGTTTGATCATGACACAGGTGGGTTTTCGATGTTCTTTGTCCATTTCGTGGATGGATATGGCTTTCAAGAAGTGCTGGTCAAAGAATATTCCGACTGGATTGCCGACATACCGTTTATTATCGTTTTCAATAGAATGCAGGCCAGAGAATTTGTAGATCACAGTACCCGACTGAAATAGTTGACTTCTTACTGGACTGCCTGAAACTCGTAGAGTGTAGTTTCTGTACCATACCACCGAATCAAAGCATGTTACCGAGTTCTAGGTGTAGCATATTTTTTAGAAGTCCCGCTCTTGATTCACAGTGCTAGAATTTCACACACCCGAGTCTTTTTCTTGAGCGTGCTCTACCTCTAGTTTGGAACAACTAAGCGCGCAGAAGGTTACTGTTTGCCAAAATCCACGGAGCTTTTCACATTCACTTGTCCATCGATCAATTCCAGCTGCGTGTTTTGGCACTCATTGTAAGAGCCACTTTATTTTTAAAATGCTTGGCATTCAACAGATGATACACAGTTTATGCTGTTGTTTAGGGGGCATCGAAACTAAAAGAGCATTGTGTGGTTTGGTGGTTCGAGCTCTTGGATGGGGTTGTCGGCCTTTCCTTGAACTGATACCTCGTCACGCCATTTATATTGAAGAACGAGTCGATGAGGTGAACTTGTTGGCCGGGTTGCGCATACCTCCGTAATCTCATGCTTGTTGGATAAAAAGCTTTCCTCAGCTCCTCTTTGTTGCGTGACAACTCGGAGAGCAGTGAAAAAGTGTTGAGCAGACAAATATCTTTAATTTCGACCACCTCAATCACCACTGTTTCCTTCATGTGTCCGCTGACGCCCTCACAAGTGGTGGCATCCGTCTGACAGATTAAACTGTCATTTCCCGTATACCAACACGGAGTGACTCCAGGTGGATTAGGCTGCCAACTTATATCACTTCTTTAGAAGACGTTGTGCAGTTACCTAAACGAAGTTCTTGATATTTGGTCTGATTTTAGGGCCGTCAAACGACTCAACTTGAGCGATTTTGTGTACATTTGTTCGTGTGGTCTTCAAAGATGCAACAAAATATTCACTGGTAAATTGCACCGCGTCCGGGGTGCTGTGGAGGTACTGTTATGTGCTTTCCACGGTCTGGGATACGATTTCTAAACATGCATAGGAAATTGGAATACGCATGTGGTCAGCCGTCAAAGGTTCGTCTCTATCCTTGTGGGGTTCGTACATGTATTTGTTGCAGGAGATGAGGATTTGGAAGGCCTTGAAGTGGAACCCAGGTGCATAACACAAGTAGAAAGACAGACGCTTGGGGTGACAGATGAGTCCGTGATCTGCTCACCCTACGGGTGGTTTATGATCTGAACTATCACATATTTTATCCCACGTCACATATTGTGTCGTTTGCATTTTGTATTTGAATCCTCTGTCTTCTCTGCTATACCTGTCACTTATCTTATTGGTGTCTACCTCTGGCTGTCACCCAACAGGAGGAAATGGTCCAATTTGAGTACTGTAGAATACTTCGACGTATTCAGGAGAGCCCACTTGAGTGACGCGCAAAATCACAAGCCAGAAATTGTGGATTCTTGAGATTTATCAAAAGATGCGGTACTACATGTATAAAATACGTAATAAAAGGGGTACAAACCTCAAATTATGGGGGTTTCCATCTAAACTGTTGCACGAAGTGGTGCAAGTCCATAGAAAGCCCGGAGAAGATAGCAAATCGTTCGTAGTTTGCGACACACACCTGGGTACAACACGTGGTAACTCAAATAGGTCAAAAAGCCCGCGTAAAGAATGGCTGATCAAACTGGTTCGACAAACAAAGGGTTAAAGTTCGTGAGGAGTTAAAAAATGTAAATAGAGTCCATGGGATAGACGTAGCAGACAGCAGCAGATAAGAGAAGAGTTTGACTGGGGGGAAGAAAGTACAGTCCAAGTGTGGTTCTTGTTGTAAAATGCCATCGCATATGTGTAACATTAAGGGATCAACTCCGTCGCTCATCTGGCGGGTCACCCATCTGACCACAGGTCCACCACCTTATACTAGACGTACATATTCCTTGACCTAAAGCACTGTTGCCTTTTTGTTGTTGTCAGGCCTGCATGCTGTGTTGAACAAGAAGCTATGCTGACTGGAATATCTATTCCTGCTCCTCAATCATTGTCAGAAAGACCAGAGACGCTCAGACAGATGAGGGACAGCAGATTCTCATAATATGAACAATGAGGTTATTGGGCTGTTTGGTAGTAAATTCGTGCTATTCGCTGAGAAAGAAGCTGGAAAATTGTAGGGTACCGCCTCCAGACGGTCGTTATTTCTCTATTCAAGGAGACTGATGCTGTTTGCTGCCGAAGAAATGCCTTCCCTATAATCCCTACAGTCCGATCAAGTCACG